GGGGATTCGCTGGGGGCCGCTGACAGCTTCTCAGATTTATTCCCTCCCTCAGAGCTTGCTTTGGTAGAAATGCAATGGTATGGAGGACGGCGGGATGAACTAAGTGGTCTTGAATGACTGTTTCTCAATACTCAGTGCTAGATTGAATTGCTGTATTTGGAGACCTTTTTTCTTTTCTTTTTTTAATTAAAAGGGCCAAGTGCCCAAGGCTGATATTACCAATAAGAAGATTGAGGCCAGAGTCCTCACAGTCTACCCGGAGTGACCGAACCGAAATTGCTGGGAACCGGGCTCAGCGTCCCCCATATGATGATGATGATGATGATGATGACGATGATGAGCTTCTACTGATTCTATGTAAACTATGAGATAATCATACTAATGATGATGATGATATGGCGATGATGATTAGTATATACTATATAAACAATATAGAAGACTATACTATATCAACAAATTCTGGCCTCCTAATCCTAGAACAACTCCCATCCCTCCCTATACCCGGACATAACATCTCAGAGACAATTCCATCATAACCAACGTCAATCAAAGTTGACCTGTTCTCGCCACCTAGACTATCCCTGGACCCATAGGTTGTCAAGGCAGCCCCCCCCGGCTATGAAACACCCGTGGCCGCGGTCATGACCGTGACGCCCGCGGAATGCCGCAGCCCGCCAAGGCCGAAGGAAGAGGGGGTTGGGGGTGGGGGTTTCAGATTGGCGTACCGGGACCCCGACCCTACCCTCTCGAACCAAAAAAAAAAAAAAAAAAAAAAAAAAAAATTTTGGGGGTTTTTTTTTTTTTTTGTGTAAAAAAAAAAAAAAAAAAAAAAAAAAAAAATTCCGGGGGGTMKTTTTWGGKGKGTGGAAAAAAAAAAAAAAAAAAAAAAAAAAAAAAAATCTAGATTGCTTGATTGTTTTTTTATTGATTGATTGATTGATTGATCGATTGATTGGTTGGTTGGTTCGTTCATTGATTGATTGATTGATTGATTGATTGATTGATTGATTGATTGATTGATTGATTGGTTGGTGGGGGAGGTGATCCCAACCCTTCCCCCAACACACATACACAAACACACACGCATATATACATTTATCGGGAAGAGAAAAATTACTGATATACTTATACGGTGAAAGAAAACTGAATTGATTTATTTATTCCTAATCTAAAAGATTGTTGGGCCCGCCATTAAAAATAGGAGGCCTCCATACAGTTTTTCCTCTGTATGGCGACGACCCCATGGTTTTTTTTTACCTTGGCTTCCCCCCAACCCCTTTTGTCTCGTCCCCATGGGCTATTCGCCTCCATTCATCTCAAGGTTCTCTGGCCAGCAGTTTTGGTTATGGGGCGAAGGTCGAAGATCTCTTTCTTAAAAAAAGAAAGCGGGGTAACTAGGGCGCAATCAGGAAAGCAGTTTGTAAATGCATTTGGAACTGCCTGTTTGCAGTCCAGTACCGTCCCAAGTTTCAACTGCAGTCAGAACACTTCACAACATAAAAGTTGCAATGCCGAGTTTGCAACTGCAGTCCAGTCCTCCGTCCTCATTGCTATGAATGAACCTACCCGTATAGGCGAATTGGGTGCATTCGTATGTAAGGAGAGAAGGAGCACACAACGGGCGAGCATGGTTCTTCGAAAGGAGCATACTCACCGTAAACCTGCATATGTCCTCACTGAAGAATCACTTGCAGGGCAGTAGGCTACGGGTGACATACGAGCAAGTCTGAAAGAAAGACTGAGACAGAGAGTCCAAGTCTGAAAGAAAGACTGAGACAGAGAGTCCTACCTCCGGCGCCAATCGCTATGTTGCTCGACCTACCTGGCGGAAGCTGCAACAGACAGGTGTACGTCAGTTGGAGAGAGAGAGAGATCATTGATAGGAGTACGGTCAGCCACGCAAAACAAGTTTGATAGCTGCCCGAGGTAGAGCGCTCACTACTGAATGGAGAAGCTGCGAAGGACTGCTGGTTGCCGCAAGCTGCGGCTGCTGTTAACTGAGCCCTGGTTTGCTGCTGCACATTGTTGGACGCTGCTGCGTATTACCGCACACTATTGCGGGCTGTTGTTAACTAGGGCACGAGCTACTGCTGCGTTGCTGGCTGTTGCATGCGGCTAGTGACTGTTGGGGATTGCGGCCATTGCTACTGACCATAGGTGAACATCGTTGCTGGGCATAAGAACTGACACAGGGTACTGGGCGGCTGCAGTCGGGCTTAAAGGAATAGTTGGACTTAGCGAGGAAGTTCGATGTTATGCGTTGGGGGCTCGTCAGGAGGTTTACTTCGGCAGATGGAATTCGTTGACCAAGCTTCCAGTTGGCCGTCATTGCGGGGCCCTTAGGTGTTGAAGGCAACGAGACCCTCTCACGTGAGTTTCACTGTACCATCCTTGGATCTCGAGAGTCTCAAATCCATCTCTATCTGCCCTTCTCAATCTAAGTCTAGTCCTTGGTTACGAGAGGAAGGCAACAGGCGGGATTGCAACCTGTAGGTCCGCGTCAAGACTTTGTGGGGAGTCCACCCACCGATTGGAGGAGCCCTGCCGGAACCTAGGCGAGGTTCTGGAGGCAGGGAATTATCAGGTATACCATCTCCATCTGTACAACCTACTACTACCCATGTTTGCCTATCTCCCTATAGTATGATTGCGGTATGCATGTATTGTCCCTATGATTATTGTTTTCTCTTCAGGACTAATCAGACTAACTGGAAAGAATGTGTGAGAGTGAAGTCTAAGTTTCTACTTTGTTCTGATTGAAAGCAGACTAAGGATGAATTGGGGGAAGGTGGAAGGAAGGTAGACTGCATGAGTTTGACCGGGTCAACCAAAGCCTGAGCATTGTTTCTATTGTGAATGGCTCAGGGCTATGTTTATTTAGCTGTTTTCTGAAGGACCAGGCATTGTTTCTATTTTGAATGGCCTGGTCGCTGTGTTTATTTGATTGTTTTCTAAGGAACCAGGCATTGTTTCTACTGTGAATGGCCTGGCTACCTTAGTTAACTCTAAGGGTTTGTCTGATTGAAGGGGTTTAAATTCTTGTTTATTCTGAGGGGGGATTTTTGGTCCAAGGCTAAGCATTGTTTCCATGGTGAATGGTTTAGCCTGAAAACCACGCACATGATTTAAACTAAGTATAAAGGAAAGTATTTTATGTATATTTGCATGTGAACTGGCAGCTGGGCATTGTTTCTACTGTGAATGGTCCAGCGTTAAGCCATATCATTAAGAAGAGAAAAAGGAAAATACAAAGTATAAATGAAAATAGTTTGGGCAAGCTGAACATTGTTTCTACTGTAAATGGTTCAGTCCCCTGCCTATATTTTCTTTTTATTTTGAAAACAAAGTCAGAAAAATACTAAAATTTTGGATATTAAACAGCTCAGGGCGACTAGGCATTGTTTCCATGGCGAATGGCCTAATCATCTGCCCAAAAAGARGAAAGAAGTAGTTGTGCAACCTGTTCGTGTATATCATGAAGACAAGTTGGGCATTGTTTCCATGGCGAATGATCCAGCTCTATGTCTTATGTAAGATGGGTATAATGGTTCAAGAACTTGAAGATTCACGAGCTATTTATATGGAATGAACTTGGGATCATGAGAGTACTTGCATTGTGGTTTGGTTTGCATGTGACTGGATGGGATGACTAGTTTGTTTAAGTTTCATTACTATAGGTAGTTGCTTTAGTTGCTCGCCACGTGCTAGAGCCATAGGAGTTAGTGTCAATTCCTGCTTTTTCTGTAATAACTTTTTTTTACTTAGGTCATTTCCTGCATTTTCTGATATTTTTTTCTCATACTTGGCTTTGTATAAATCTTGGCAAGCTACTTTTCCTACGGGAAGCGCTGCCGAAATTTCTACAAATCCAAGAAGTTAGTCAACTTGACTTGTCAGAGTTCAACCTGTCTTTTCCATATATCTGACTTAGTTAAAATCCGGGAAGTCTCCCTTTCTAGAGGGAGTGCTGCCCAAAAAGTTTGCTAATTCAGGGAGTTAGACAAAATTGAACTTTGGGAAGTCAAAGTTACTTTCAAAATCTGAACTTAGTCTTGTATAAATTTTGGAATAACACTTTTCTAGAGGGACTGCTGCCGAAATTTCCTACAAAATTAAAGGAGTTAGTTAAATTCAGTCTAAAGTTCAGCTCGAGCTGTTGTTCAAGTTTATATCTGACTTAGTATAAATCTGGGAAGTCTCCTTTTATAAAGGGAGTGCTGCCAAAATTTCTACTAATTCAGAGAGTTAGGCAGAATTTGATTATCCAGAGTTACAGATTATTTCTGTTTTTATATCTGACTTAGTATAAATTTGGGAAGTCTCCTTTTTTATAGGAAGTGCTGCCCAAATTTCTACTAATTCGGAGACTTAGACAAAATTTTGACTTTCCAGACTTAGAGATTATTTCGGCGTTCATATTTGAGCTTATATAAAATCTGGAAAGACACTTTTCCTACGGGAAGCGCTGCCGAAAATTCTCTTAGTTTAAGGGAGATAGACCATATTTTTGACAGGTGGCGATTCAGGCAATCCACCCTGAATAGGGGAGATTCCGTAGTTTGTCTATCTTTAGCTTAAGCATTTGGTTTAAAAGTAGACTTAAGTTTAGCTTATAGGGAGATTTTGAGTGAGGATGTATTATGTAGTTATATTCTCCATACACTTATGATCTTAGCTTGGGGATTGATCTGTCGTGTGTTTCAGGTTATTTTGATCATTTGATCCAAGTTCAGGGCTAGATCCAACTTGATCCTTTTGAGTATCACTTTCTGTTATCACTGATAACAGGTCGGTTGCCGATTCGTCGGTCTATGACTCAATTTTAACTCTCCCTCCACACTCAACCTAAAAGGCTTAGCCCTGGTGATCTTCGTTGTTTTATTAAACTTTTCACCCGGACTTTTATTGAATGACCATTTAACAAAGGTACTGAGTATTTAATTAAGGTTGGTTGGACATGAGGTTTTGGGGCTTGTATGGCTAAAGCGAGGGGTATGAGTGTCGAAGGTGGTTGGGGTTGACTCCGTGTAATGTGTGGGTTGTTGATTTGGTTCGTTGATGTGACTGCAGGTATGTGCTGTGAGTCAGATTCTGGATTTGGTTGTCTGCAATCACACATATACGTATCATTGTGAGACCCACCACTGTGACTATGAAAAGTGATCGCCACATACTTAACCCTTATATACGTATACATGGGTATACTTGGGATGAATGTTTGCATGGGTTGAAGAGTCCCTATATTAAAGCCCCACTCAGAAGCTGGGACTGAGGAACTTAGGGGAGACCCCTATTTCTATTTTTTGTTCTTGCTTTTTGATGATTTTTCTTAGTCGGACGTTTGGTCCTGGGCCGAGATTCGAGGTCCTTGTCCAGGACACCCCAAGCCCTAGGCTCTGCAGGCGAGGGGTTTTCCCTCGCGCAGAGCCTATTTGATATGCCTACCGAGACACTCAGGCCAAGAGCCGGAGGTGTCGCGGCGGTTGCGCGGCTATTTCTTCAGCCGTGCAATGCCATGAGGGGTTAGGCCCTCACTACACTTCAAGTCAGACACTCGAGTGTCATAAGCGGTACTCGATTTCACGAGGGGCCGCTTGATTATGGGCACTACATAGTACGCCATCATGGCGACTGCTTGCGTACAATTGCATTGCGAGTTGATATGCGATAGCCCTGCATCCGCGCGGTTTTATACCTAGTCTCGCACGCGACGCCTATTCGATTTCCGCGTTGGAAAGTTATGGGTTGGCTACCGAGGGGCTAGGAGCGTTGTCGCGTTGTTTGTGTTGTGCCGTCTCGTATATGTGTTGTCTTGTGTGCATGTGTATTCGTAAAGTGGAGTGCGCGTGGTGTGTGGGAGTCGTCCTAGTCGACCGACGACGGGTCGCGATTGGGACCTCAGCCCCCCAAGATGCCGATTCGCGTGCGGGTTCGATAGAGGCGTATTACCCCGCGTACCCCCTATGCTAGAGCGAAAGAGAAACGCCCTCGGCTGGTCCACCTCTGTGATTGCAACTGACTAGCTTTCGTACTGTGGGCTGGTAGCTCGGCGGGGATACGCCCACCGAAGGCAGGTGACAGCTCCCGTAAGGTGTAGGTAAGTCGTGCCTCGGCCTCCTTTTTTTTTTTTTTTTT